CCAATTCGCTACAATGGAGCAGAATCGAGAGACGCTTGACAGCCTAGAGATACCCCTACAAATGTCGCTACCAATTAAACCAATCAGGGTTGAGGAAATTGCCGAAGTCATTAAATCAATGCCAATAAAGAAGACTCCTGGCATCGACAATGTCTGTAATGCCACGTTAAAAGCGCTACCTCTCCGAGCCATCCTATACATGGCGAAAATATTTAATGCTATATTTAGGGTGCAGTCCTTCCCAAAGCAGTGGAAAATGGCAGCAATTCTCATGATACATAAGCCTGGGAAACCTGAAGAGGATCCGGAATCGTATCGGCCCATAAGTCTGCTGTCTTCGCTATCCAAGATATGGGAAAGGCTGATTGCCAACAGACTAGGTGACTTTATTAAGGAGCGCCGTATCCTCCCAGATCACCAGTTTGGATTTCGACAGGGACACAGCACTGTGGAGCAGGTTCACAGACTGGTTAAGCACATTATTCAGGCGTTTGACGACTTGGAATACTGCAATGCTGTATTTATTGACATGCAGCAAGCATTTGACAGAGTCTGGCATATCGGCCTACTCTGCAAAATAAAAAAGCTGCTTCCAGCACCATACTATGGAGTCCTGAAATCTTACCTGGAAGATAGGAAGTTCATGGTCAGGGTCAGAAGCACCTACTCAACCCCTTGCTACATGAGAGCTGGAGTTCCGCAGGGCAGCGTCCTCGGCCCGCTGCTCTACTCAATATTTACCGCGGATTTGCCTTGCCCAAATATGCACCATATGGAAGCTCCCAGGAAGGCCCTACTCGCCACTTACGCTGACGATATCGCACTGTTATACAGCTCCAGTTCTTGCACTGAGGCAGCACGTGGCCTCCAAGAGTATCTCAATACTTTGGCTGCATGGTGCAAAAGATGGAACTTAAAGGTAAATCCACATAAGACCATCAATCCTTGTTTCACCTTGAAGACTCTCATTAGGCGCACACCACCCATACAATTTGATGGCGTAACCCTAGAACAACCTCTGCAGGCTAAATACCTTGGGATCACCCTTGACAAACGGTTGACCTTTGGCCCACACTTAAAAGCTGCGGCACGGAGATGCGGTCAGAGAATGCAACAACTGCGATGGTTGATCAACAGAAGAAGCACCATGACACTTAGAGCCAAAAGGGCAGTATACGCCCACTGTATAGCCCCGATCTGGCTATATGGAGTGCAGATCTGGGGTATTGCTGCAAAATCGAACTATAAACGCATTGAGGTCTTGCAAAATCGTGCAATGCGTGCCATCACCAACTGCCCATACTATGTACGTAGCTCAACCCTTCATCGGGACCTTAATCTGCATACAGTGGAAGAACAGATCTCAAGGCACACAAGCAGATACAGTGATAGGCTTAAAAGACACCACAGCATGCTAGCAAGACGCCTACTCCCTGCCAGGCCTCTAAGAAGGCTTAAAAGAAAGGGCTTTGCCAAAACAATTGGACAGCTTTAAAGACCCCCTCGACGTTTGAGACTCTGTTGTTAGTCTTCCCACGATAAGTGAGAAGTTTGGTTATATTATTTATATGTTTAATTGCAATGTTATGGTACTAGTACTGCATGTACGGATTCGTCGCTTTATAATAATAAACATTTAAAAAAAAAAAAAAAAAAAAAAACTAATCTTATCCGAGTTGTGGATCCTAAACGATAGATCACCACAAAGTGGACATCGTCGAGTGGATTCTATTTATATTGAGTGAATCAAATCACTTGTCATTGAGTGAAAACTGCATATAGAGAAATAATTATTGCCGAATGTGATTCCGAACCTATAAGGTATATATATATCTACGTATGTATACATATGTATAAGTAGAGACATAAAATTAGCGTTGTCTTGGCTACAATATGAAACTGAGCTTTTAGTTTTCAGATCGCCTAGGAGCAAACGATCACTTTGCAGGGCGATTTAAAGTCTCTTGGTCATTAATATTGGCTCTTAAAAGCTTTTCCTTTAATCTCACGAAACGTTAACAGCCTGTTAAGCTATCTGTCTCACTTCCGCCTTGCTCTCTCCCTTTCGCCGAGGCATTTTCTCTCTCTCACTGCACTGCAGCTGCAAACTTTTGGTTTTATTTGTTTTTTATTTGCCAGTCCAAAATGCTATTGAACTCACACGCACACACACCCAAACGCGTACAGCCAGAGTTACACACACACACGCACACACAAACACACACGCACCCACACGTACACATACATATGTAGTATAGTGGGGACAGATTAAATTATTTTGCTTGCCATGAAGCAATACCTGCATCTAATGTAATTGTATAGAATTTTCAAATAAAATTAAAAAGTTTCGAGATAAGCCGAAAATCGGCCAATTATAAAGCCCACCCACCGCAGGACCACCCAACGCAGTACCGCCGGGGACACGTGTCCTGAAAATCCAGACCTACATCAACAATAGCAGAACCGAGTCCCAAATCCCGAATTCCGAATCCCGATTCCCGATTCCCGATACCCGAAGCTCCCGAAACACGTAATGCGCCGCTGCAAAGCTATACCCCCTTAGCACCGATTACCCGCAAATAACCCCTATATCATTGCTCCCGTTTTTGTTACTGGTTTTCGGCTGGCTATCCCCCGCTCCATTCCAGGCGCATTTTCTGGAAAATTGTGTCAAGCTGACGACACAATTTTCAAATCGCATGCCCGGAGTTTTGCACATTGCAGTTTTCCGGCTGCACGTCGGCGAAAATGCGGCTCTGCTGAGCGAACTGCGAGCGGCTAAATCGGAAAATCGTAAACGGAGAGGCAGAGAGAGGGACAGAGAGAGAGCGTGTGCGAGAGAAGTGCCGTTCTTTTGCCGGCATGCCACACAAAATAATAACGGTACAGTAGCCCAACAGGAAGTGGTGCATTAACACGCGCCGCTTTTCACCTCGAAAATTCGTGCTAAAATCAACACAAAAAGAAAAGTGGAAAACTTCGCGTAACAGTAAACAACAAAAACATTTTAGAGTGCTTGTGTGGTTGTGTGTGTGTGAGTGTGTGTGTGTGTGGGTGAAATGCGGCATTCGATTGCATCACCTAAATAAAGCAGAAACAACAGCCAGAAATGCCTTTTGTGTTTTTTGTAAATGTTCAGGTGTGTGTGTGTGCATGTGTTTGTGGGAGAAACTCTCTTGAATTTGTTGCTGCATTTTTTAAATCCTATTCAAAATAATTTCGGGAATTTCCTAAATTTTTTACATTTTTTTTTCGGTGCCTCAGTTGAAGTTTCTTGAGTAGCTAAGATATTTAATTAATTTTAACTCAAGAGGTGAACAAATACGTTTTGTTGCACATCGATTTAAATATCTAATAAATGTTGTTAAGACTAGGTCCTTCCTTAAGGGATTTCTTAATATGCAAATGGAAATTTCGATTTTCATTTGGAACTTGCCGATAATAAACTTATACATTAATTTTCTGTCTAATTAAATACAGCTTGCTCGGATACATTAAAAATAATGGCTATAATTAAAAACAAATTTTGTAAAGTTAAAGTATAAACTGCCAAGGCTTGATATAAGAAATACAACATAATATAGTTTCCATTTACTTTTTCAATAACCCTTGGTTTTTTTGAACCTAACAGATTGAGAGGATTTGTTGTATTTATTAGCTTACATTTAAAATATTTTCCATGAATGTGCCCACATTAATATGCAATATTTTTGTTAACCGCAAAAAGGCAAAACCGGCAGGCCAAAAACCCCACAAAGGGCGAAAGAGTGACCAGGAGTGCGGCGGGGAGTGTGGGAAGGCGAGAGAGGGGATGCTCGCTTGAAAACGTGAAAAGCACGTGCAGCACGAAAAGCGACGGAAAAGCGGCGAAAACTTTTCGGTGTGAATGCCTTCTGCACAGACACAAAAACGCGTTTTTTTCGGCCAGCGTCGCTGGCGACGTCGACTGCGCTGCCGGCGCTAACAGCGCTGCAGTTGGGAGCGATCTCTGTTAGGCGCTAAATGTTAACTGGGGCAAAATGTGACAGGACAAAATGTTAGCAGGCAGCTTTTTAGGTTCTGTTGCACATCCTTCGTATTTGAATTTTGCACGAAATACACGAATGCAAGCAGCCAGATACGGATTCAAAATATATAAATACAAACTAAAAGATTTAATGTTAAGACTTCAAATTAAATAATTTCATATTACGGTTTACTTTTATATTAAACTGACATTTCTTCTGATATTAAATTTAATTTAACTTATGTTTATAAAATGGAAAATAATCCAATTTGGTATTTTTATATTTATTTATTTATTTAACTTTTTTGTTGTATGTTGTTGTTCTTACTTTTATTTATATACAGGTTTCTTTTAAACCAATATAATACAATTGGTAGTCATGTTTTCAAATGTTTAGAACTCCTACGGACTTCAAACTTTTTAAAGGGCTTCAAATATAGTTTTGATCTGCTTTTGTTGTGGTTTTATATCGCTTAATGCTTTGCCAAAACGAATATATTTAGGAAACTGCATTGTGATTCAAAGTCAAGTCAGTGAAACTGATTTTTCTAAATATATTTGTTGTATTGGTTCTAACTTTCTCCTTTCTCCATGCCCACTCCCCCTCTGCCCCACTTCGTTCTCTTGCTGAAAAATTAGCGCTTCAATGTAGGCAATTTGTCAATTACTGATGGCAATGCAGCAAGCGCACAACAGGAAGACAAACAGCTGCAGCAGGAGCTCGTCCATCTCTCCAGCACCGACTCTTCGGAAAGCTCTGCTCCCTCGCAGGAGAGAGCGCGGCAGCGACGTCGGCAGAGTGGCACGAAGTGACTTCGCGTCACTTCGTGTTCCTGCCGAGCAGCTTGCCCTTCCGCTCCCGCTTACGCACGCTTACCGCAATTGTCTGTCTGCCGAAGACTTCGGCTCAACTTCGGCCGGCGCTTCGGCTGCGCTGCCGTCGTCGGCGTCGCCGTCGGCTTTTCAGCTGAATTTCGTTTTTCCGAATTTCCCTGCAGCAAAAACAGTTTGCATTTGTTTTTCCGCGTGTTCGCACACGTTCACGGGTCTGCGTTTTAATTTGGTCTTCCCACATTCCCATATTCTCCACCTGCCACACATCCATATCCACATTCATTCAAATTCTCCATTACTCTCTTCTTGCGGCTTTTTTTTGGCAGCCGCAACACCGTTATTGCACCGCGTGTGTGTGAGCCAGTGTGTGTGTGTGTGAAGGATTCGAAGAACTACAATTGGGATTACTAGTTTTTGGGGTTCCTTGGCGTTTCCCGGTTAATTTTGTCAGGCAATGCAAATTATGAATACGATTTTGCTACTTTCAAATTATACAATTTGTTACAATGATTTGGGCCATTTCAAGAGTTTTTAGGAATAATTAATAATTATTTAGGAAAATTCTTTTTGAGGTGGTCATAATGGTTTTCCTTAAGAAAAGTTTAATTTCCAGTGGATTTGGTCTGCTGGCAAATTGAGTTCAAAGTGTGTGGTACAAAATGATTTCAAATAAGTTTTTTTTCATTAATTTTAAGGATTTTAAACAAGATCTTTTTTTGTGAAATACGATTGTGATAATTTGAACAGAAAAACTCATGGTGAGCAGTGATTTGTATAAAACATTTTGCCATTTTTAAAGGTGTGCATACTGTAACTCTGCGGGCAGTAAAAGATTCAGAGCAAAAACTTTGTTAACAAAAGGGTTTTTTTTTACTTAAACGAAGAATACTAAATAAAAAAGTTCTAACATTTTGTTTTTTTTTTTTTAATTACGTACTGTTTTGGAAACTAAGATTGTGGGACTTAAAACCATTTAAAATAGGGGGCGTCACAAAAATTTACCTACTTAAAGTAACGTTAAACATGACTCATGAAATGCTGCAAAATATTCTAAAAAGTCCTGATCATAAAATAAAGGATACGGTTCAATATGCGGAATTAAGAAAACAGCTAGAATATAATTTCGAAAACTGCCACTAGGTTTAGACAAAGTTCGTAGCCAATGCAGTTTTGGAGAGAACCGAATCTCTCCAGAAGTTGCAACTCCGCAGCGACGACGGTAACTCTCCCGCTGCCAGCGCCACAGCTGGCGTCTCTGCCGACCGCGATAGCGACGTCGGCTGCGGGCAGAGCAGAACTGAAACTGAAACATGGAAATCGTGAAGAAAAGTCGAGTCGTGTCGAGATCGAAGCGCCGAACGGAACGGAACGAACGGAGCTGAACGGAAGTGCAGTGCAAAGCGGAAACGGAAGCTGGAGCAGTATTCCCACTTAGTGCTTGGCACGCACACACACCAGCTCGGACACACACACACACAAAGAAACGCTCAACCGAACACGCACGCACACACACACGTGCGTTTGGCGGCGTTCCCCATAATATTGTTTCTTATATTTTTTCAAACTGACAACGCGTGCAAGCGATTGAATTTTTTTTGCAAATTTTTTTAACGTGCTCTCTCTTTATATATAAAAATGCAAAATAAAAACAAAATATATATCAAATAAAATGTAACGAAAAACAACCCTAAACAGCAGCGAGAACAACAACGTGCGGTGTTGTGTGTGAGCCTGCCGCAAAAATCAAATGAAAGTCCAACTGCAAAGTAAAGCTAAAAGAAAGTCGACAAAAGTGGCAATATGCAGTGCGTGTGCATAGAAAAACCAGATATACAGCGGCCACAGGGTATTGTACTTTGGACAAGTGAAATATCCCCCAAACGCCAGTGAAAATCGAAGGAAAAACCAACGCAGCATACGCAGAAAACACCGGATTTGCTGGGAAACCGGACAAAAATGCTAGGCAGCCAAATCGGCTGCCTTTGAGGCTTAGTGAGTGGCTCAAGGTGTGTGAATCTAAATATTCCTCCATGTACGTATTCTATATGCAGATATTGCAAATTGTACATCAGTGCTTAGCACCCATTATTTTTTGTGTATTTTTCTTGTGTTTTTTATGAGCTTAGTCCGCTGATTTGTGGCCAATTTGCTGGCCGAACACTTCCGCTTTTTGGATATACGCGCTGATCTGAATGACCTATTTCACCGGGAAATCAAAGAATATTTTAAACAAATAAATATTGAGAAAACTTTATGTTTTCTCTGCTTAGCCATGGCATATGTATTCAAATAATAAAATTCCATCACAGTGATGAAGTGCGAAAAGCCAATTGTTTATCAATTGTTCAATAATAGCAAATGAATAATTAATATGCCAAAAATATTTCTAAAAAAGCATTGGCTCATCGTACAAAATTTTTTCCTTGGGTTTAAATAAATGCCCCATATTGGAACGCAAACATTTTTATTGGAAATTCCTTATAGCTTGTTCAATAACATTATTGTTATAGTGTATATTTTGCAGACACAAATAATTTGAATTTAAATCTATTGATCATGTATCATAAATAATATTATAAATATATATCATTGCAGTGGCTTTTTTAGTTTGTTTATTTAATTTAATAAAAATATACATATTTTAATTATATTGCAAAATTTGTAATGTTTTCTAATGTATTTTCTTAATTATTTTATTGCTTAATAGTAAAAATCTTTATATCCGATCCGCATATAGCCCTTTCTTTGTTGTAATTCAAGCAAGTTTGTAAACAAACTCTGCCGTCAGCTGCCGTCGCTAGACAAACATAAACAAAATCAAAAAACATTCAAGCGAAATGGGAAAAGTTACAATATTTTTAAAATAAATGCCGAGTTGATTTGATGATTTGTTCATGTCTTTCGGCATCTTTGCCAGGCCATCGCTCATTGAGAATCCAGCGAACCGCAGCGGGAAAAACATCTCCCGATCTCAACGGTCTTCATCTGACGGTCTATTAATAATTTTGATGCATAGCAATCCCCTTTGGTCCATCCTATTGGCCAGATCGTTCTTTGGCTAACTTAAGAGGGCTTTAGGCCTTTGATATACGAGCGTTTCGACTTTTACTGCGAATTACACAAGTTCTTTTATGTTTGCAATGCCATAGGGGATTTATTTTTTATTTTTTAAAACAAATTTAAAGCATTCTAACAAATTTTATTAGATTTATTACTTTGGTCAAAGCTAAATTTTTATATATTTGGATAAATAAGTAGTAATTGTCCATTAGGAGACTTACAAAAAACCATCATACCGCAAAAAAAAATGGGTTTGAAAATGCGTGTTTATGAATAAAAAGCCATTTGACATTTTATTTATGAATATGTTTCCACAGCTAAATACTTACCTAAATAAAAACTATGTAATGGCTTTCGGTATAATTCATACATTATTTAAAACACAATTGCACAAATCCTCTCCCAAGGCAAAATAATTGCCCATCAAGTCTTAAACATATTTTCATTTTATTTGTTCAATTTGGTAAAATTAAAAACAACGCTGTCACATCCATTGATGCTCAATCGTAAAATTATTCAGAATTTCGCAAAGAAATGGCCACTTGGCTTCCTCCATCACAAATAATTATTGTCAGGGGATTTCTCCCCTCTTCGTTTTTATTTCCATGCATATAGTACATGTGTATGTTTCCAAATTGGTTCCGCACATTTTGCCATATTAAATCATCAAAATGGAGGAAAAACATCAAAATGGCCACAAAAAATTAATGCAAATGGTGGCGCTTTCGCATTTAATATGCAGAAATGACAAAAAACGGTCGATAGAGTAAAAAAAAAAAAAAATTCAGGGAGCGCAAAGTTGAAAGCAAAAAAACAATTGGAATAATTGTGCAATATAATGACATATGAAATTTCATTTCAATTTTGTTTTTGCATCTCTTTATTTATTTATATAAGCAGAAACAGCGCAGAGGAAATCATGTCCATAAACTGAAAATTGTCATGCCAGTAAAAACTCAGACACACACGAAATGAACAACAAAGACTGCAGCCCAAATAAAATAAAGTATGAAAAAGCCCGAACAACTAAATTGATGAAAAATATTATAAATAAATTAAAATGAAATAAATTTACTCGGAGCCAGCATCCTCAATTGGTCATTCAAGCAGAAGAGAAATTGTCAGAATCATAATCAAACTTTTCCGGTACAGGGTAGTCAAGGGTATACATGCGTAGCGATAATTTATTTGAACAAAATTGTATAATTTACCCTGAATTTGGTATCTACAATAGGAACATATACAATAAATACTCATATTTTGCCTATAAGAATAAATGCATTTCATTTTGGAAACCTACAAGGCGAGCGTAGAATAACATATTCAATATATCTTAGGAACAGGAAGCTTCAAATACTCCACTTACAGCTTCGGTTTTTCCAGCACTTTCGGTAGCCAATAGCTGGTCCGCTTTTGATAGATTTCATTTTAGTTATTGTCATTTCACGCTTGACCTAATTTACGAGCAGGAAAAAGGAAACAACATCGCAGTACTAAAAATCAGATGGCAGTATATTCGGGGAGAAGGAACATGTACGAAAGTGTCGCATATTTGTCGCTATCTTTTTTTGATATAAGCCTGGTAAAAATCCATACTGGAGCACACTGCATAATGGCGAATAATGCGGGCTGAAAACAAAAGTGACTTCCTTTATTGTCGTCTCGACATATCCTTCCATTGTGATTTGAGTTTCAGCTACGGATTTGGGCTTTGGATTGTTGGTTCTGGGTTTTGGGTTTTGGGTTTTAGGTTTTCGGGTCCTGCGCCTGGCCTCATTTGTCCTAGTTTAAATGGTCTTTAGGTCGCGCATTAAACCATTGCAAAATTTGTGCATACATACATGCACACGGCCAGCTCTCTCTCGCCTTCTTTGTGTTGGTGCATACATATATGTGTGTGCTCGTGCATTTGTGAGTGTGTGTGTGTCTTCCTTTGTGTTTGTATTTATTTGTTTGCTGTTGGCTTTGATTTGGTTTCTGGCCTGGCCTGCTATCGCCATCAAATCAGGCACACAAACATAATTGTGCATGGGTTCGTGTGTATGTGGCTGCGCCAGGATCTTCGCTCTATGTGTGAGTGAGTATCTTTCGTGTGTGTGTGTGTGCCAGTACGCCAGTGTAAATAGCAATTACAGGCCGACTACCCGCGACCCCTTCTCCATCCTGGCTCCATGTGTTAGGGTAAATATACATAATCAAGCGAATGCCCCCAAAAACGAAAATGCAATGAGGCAGCGCACAGAAAACAACAAAAACACTATTTTTACACTCGCCAAGCAACAACACCAGCCGGGGTACACTTGAAAATAAGTCAGCTCTCAATTTTAGACCGTCAGAAGAGATATTAAGGTCAAGCATCACAATTTAACGAATACAAGCGAATTTATTGCCACAGAATCAGGTGCAACAAAGTAGTGAGTGTGGATTTATTTTCATAAATAATATATATTCGAATTTCAGTTGAAAATAAAAATCTCTTCTAAATATTGGCAAAATATAGCAAGTGACAGCGCTAACGCCCCATATATTTCACAACTATCTGCAGTATCCAGTTTGTTTTAAGAAACAGTATAACTTTTCTCCGTGCAAGCGTGCAGCAACAATGTTGCACTTAAGCTTCGCCTGCGCCCATAAGTATGCTTCGATAAGTGAGAATAAGCGTGCCTCGTGATGACGATGAATAGCGAGGAAAATGGGTGGCTAAAGAGGAGAGTACATAACGATGCACTAACTTAGTTAAAGTACTTGAATGAAGATGAAAAATTGTCTAGCTAAAAATAGAATAACCAACGTGCACACTTAAAGGAGAGGAAAGCTAATAGTTGTACAAAATGCCAATGGATGGATAGAGTGCTGTCAATAGTTGCTTTAGGACAAGTGCCTTAGTTGTAATAAATTTAATATTCCAAATCAACGAGCATTTGGTATTACCAACATATGAAACAACTCAAATATAAAATGAATTAAGAACGTGATAAAAATGGGGTTTATACACGCTTTATTACCATCAACATTCTATGCACTGGCTGCTGTTTTCACTTTAAGTAGTTCACCCAACGAAACTCTCAACTCGAAAATCGTCTTCATTACCTTCTGCAAGTGGCTTTTTACAAAGTCCAAATGAAAAACCCAACAAACCCCGGCAAAACCCGGCAAAACCGCGTGAAAGGGTCGCTCGAATGGGGCCGCTTCTCAGGTCCGGGCCCATATGTAAATTGGTGAAACTAACTAAATCAGACAAGTAAAAACACCAAATTTAATTACATAGTTCGGAGCCCAGCGATGGGAAGTGTTCGGCAAACTCGCAAAGGGAGACAGACGGCACATTACACAATATTTATTTAATGGCATGCCCTTTCATACATAGAACTCCGTCAATTTATGTCGCCCAGCACAGAAGCCATCCCTGATTTTCGCCCCGTGACCGAGATTCAGAGCTGGCGATGACGGCGGAGAAGCCCCAACTCAACCCCTTTTGGCCCACAAGAAGTTCGACTTTTGGCTTTGTCTTGAAAACGAAAGCAGCCCGGAAATGTTTGTGCTGGCCCCATCGTATACAGTAACTACTTAACTGTACTAGACCGTACATCAAACAATGGGGATTGGCAAGGGGTGAAATGGCGGTGTGTGCTTACATTATGCAGTTACCTTGCAGATGGATAGAGAATGTCTTTGCTAGCACAATGAAGGAAATGCTGCAATAGTATTATGTTTTTCAATAATAGTTCCTTTAAAATCAGCACTTGAAAAGCGGTGAAGAGTGGAGATCTAAAAATTAGAGAAGTTAGCGAACAGTAGAAAAGCCAAATAAATGGTAAAATGTTCAAAGCTGTATGTTTAGAAAGTAATTAGCACTAAATACTTCCAAAGATAAAGTTTCTTTAATTTAAGTGTGCCCAGTCCACAATACAACTCATATCAGTGTGGCTTTCGTTTTTTCGAGTCCGAAACTTTATTTTCCTCAGTGAATCTTTTGCACATATTTTATCTTTTCCTTGCCGCTCCTTTTGCGCTATCTCTGACCAACTTTTCGCTTGCCTTTCGCAGTTTCGCTTTAAGTTGGCTTTAATCACGGCCCGCATATGCATGTGGGTAAATGCACTGGCGCACAGATACGGCCATATGCATATAGCTTGTGTATATATGTATGCCCATATATATACATATATATATGTATGTAAATGTATGTATATATATACACCGACAAGTCTGACAAGCCCGATTTTCCACTTCTCCGCCACTCTTCTGTCTCAATAACTTTGGGCTTTGCATTTTCGTTACGTTTCGTATGCAGCTTTCGCATTAGTCTATCTCGCTCGCACTGCGGATGGGGCTGGGAAAATGAGGCGGTGGACGGGGTGCCACGCCCCTCTGCTCGCTTGTTTAATAGCATCCGAAGTTGCTGTTGTTGTTCTTGTCGATGGTACGTGTTGGGAATGTAGGACATTGTTATGCAGGCAGGCGGCACAAAAGGAAGAGCAAATGAGTGCGACAGAGACGGGGCTAGTGCGGGGCGGTAAGGCGCGATGAGGTGGGAAACAAGGGGGGTGTGGCAGGAGTAGGCCAGCCGCATGGCACGAAATGTGCAACACAAAAGTTTTCGTCATTATTGGCTTATGAGGTGAAATTTATTGCAGCATAATTCAATGGAAGACGGCAACGATCGCGGCGTCTCTTTCGCACTCTGTCGTCTCTTTCTTTGTCTTTGGGTCAAGCAGAAGGCAATAAAATGAAAAGCAGACAATAAAATGCGTTGGAATCGAGAAATAGTTCCCTACAGTTCTCTACTATTTAATAAGTTAGTTATACTTTTAACTCCACTTGCATAAATACCTTTTTCGACAAGCTTTTCGACTCACTAATTTCTTTGTACATTTTCTCATTTCAGCACGGAGACCTTTTTTAAGACAGAAAAGCCTAGAGAAACTAATAATAAAAACTTTCGAATTATTATGAGAATCTTCTATATTTGAAATATTTTCAAATTCAAATTTAAACAACTTTATTCTTAATGAACTAATTGATAATTAATTACATAATAGTAAACAAAGCTCAAATAGACTGAAATAGAGTCCAAATATATTACGAAAGTAAAATGCAATTAATTCAACATATCATATAAATTAATTAGAACAAATTGCATTTAAGTTATTAAAAAGCAAGATCAAGCAAAACAAAGCAAAACAAGCGTATAATTAAACAAAAACAGAGAAAAAAAACACAGGGCTGCAAATCCAATGAACAAAAGTCAAAAATAAACACGAAAAGAGGCGAGAATTAAGTGAACAGATATAAAAAAGCAGATCAAAGTGCAAAAAGTGTGTGGTGGCTTCATCGCGAAGAACAATAACCCCTCTAATACTGCATAATTAATTTCTTTCAAATACTCCGTTTAGTTCGCGTTTCAATGCAATTCAATAAATTCAATAAATTAATATGTTAAATCCAGCAGCCAGAGGAACGGCGACATAAATGGATCATCAATCGTAGAGGCAGCCGAAAAGAAATCAAGGTAAATAAATTGAAATTCCTCCAAGATCTGCGGGATTATTTGTAGTAATTTTACGGAATTTAAGACATGCAATGGATGGAATGGGATTTTCCTGGGAAATGTATGAGAGGTCATGGCATTGCCCACTATCTTGCCTCTCTCTCTCTCCCTTTCTATCTCCCTCTATCTCACTCTCGTTTTATTCTCAACAAGTGCCTGTTCCCCCAGGGTTCTATTCTTAGACAAACGATGCCTTCCCCTGGTCCCGCCATTCAAATTGTCTTTATTTATTTGTTGCTGCCGCCCGTTTGTTTGGCTCCTTGTGAAAAATGATTTCTTAATGAGTCGCAACTGTGCGGTAGATTGAACAGAAGAAGGCCCACGAAAAAGATTTTGGAATAGATTGGCATAGATCATCGTAAGTATTACACTGACAAATGGGTGGAAAAAGTGAAGTGATGCCTGCGAGTGCAAAAGATATCGAACAAATAGAATATATGAAGTGCAAAAGCCCGTTTAAAATTTCAATATCTTCAAGAAAATTGCCACACATCAGCTTTTGATACGTTCGTCTTAAATTCAATCGAATTCAGCAAAATTGTCAACTGTGGCTGCGAAAACTGACTGACGAAAACCACAAATTAGCAGCAAATAGCTGAAAGGAAGTTGAGATTTCGGGGAATACTCGAATACTCGTATAAGTGAAAAATCAAAAAATCACATACACTTCGAGGAGCACACGGCGCTTCATTAACATCATTCCACTTTCGTAACTCAATTTGAAAGCTGAAAATTCGTGGCACATGTGCGACAGCTCAGGAAACAAGCTAATTTCGGAATCAGACTCAGAATCCTGCACACACACACACCCACACTCACACACACACACACACACACACACATACGGATAACGCTGACGAAGCGAAACCAATTTCAGCACTGGAAAATCGAGCAAAAAATCATAAAAAGGAGAATGATTTCTCTTCTTTGTGGCCATTCATCGGGACTCATTCATAGAGCAATCAGGAGAATATGGAGCGGGGTTAGCACTAATCAAATCAAAGAGTTCGAAGCAGCTAAAAAAGACACTTCCGAAGGGGAAGGCAGGCAAACAAACTCGAGACAGGAAATGAGGAGCCATGGTAGGTTTTCTTCAGTCAGCCAACTGAGAAGATAAAAAGCCCTACATCCCATCCATGTACATATAAATATCAATAATAACATATATTTCAAAATGTTTCCAGCAGAGTCAGTTAAGTTTCGCTCACTTCTATGCAGATGGCAGCTAATAGAAATGAAAAGAAAAAGAAATCAAATGAAAGAAATTAAAAGTTCGTTCATGCCGCGGCCTACTCCACCTTTTGGGGGCAATAAAAAAGCTCGTTTATAAAACAAACATGCCAGCCATGTTTTCCCTGCCTTGTCACTCGGCGGCTTGTAAGACTTTCCAGCAGCTTCACGCCCTCTTTTCCATGTGCGACCCCCGCCCCTCACATGATTTTCCACTTGACTCGGGCGGCAATAAATACAATGAAAATCCCTGCATTCAAGAACAACGAGTTGCGTTCAAATTTCTAGGCGAATTCCAGGAATGAAGTGGTGCTCATATAAATTAATGAAGATTGCCTGAATTATGAGTTTATTTATCTTATAAGTCCTTAATTACATTTCGTGGAATTGACTTTGTCTCCCTTTTTTTTCTTTTTTTTTCAAATTTAATTTGGTGCTGCCTTTCACTTGTACCTGGAAATTTATTTATATCTGTATCTGGTATAGGTATATATTTATACATACATACTTTTTAGTAAAAAATATATTATTCGCATTTTTTGAGTAACATTTATATTTTTAAGCTACTCTGTAATGTATGGCTGACATTTCCATTTCATATAATATATAGTTGTGTTTGGAATGCAGCACACTCGAAGATTACACAAAATTCGGTTCGGAACTCTGTTTTCTTGTTTGCCCAACAATTTGGCCGCCGGGGAAACACCTTTCAACGCTGTGTGAAAATCCCCAACATGTGTCCCATTTCTGCTGGGGGCGTGGCACGGAGTGCTGATGGATTTTTAGTTGTTACGGTCGCCGAGTGCCGTTCCTAAGGGCGTTGCGCATACGCCCCGTGGGATGCCAATGCCATAACCCTTTTAATGCGCTTCCATATTTTACGCCGCCCACACAATTTGTATTCATCAGACGTAGATTTCTGGGCTACGATTTCAGTTGTAATTAATTTTAATGCAAACATTTTTGCGGCTTGAGGCGGCATTTCATTTGTTCCCGTTTACCGCTTGATGTTGCTAATTTTTATGAGCGTAATGATTGATTGATTGATGGATGGATGGCTGAACGAACGGCTGCAGGGGGTCGGGTATGAATCCAAATGAATGCTGATGGTTCGGTTGAGTGAATTGCTTTTTGATAGATCACAAATATGTCAGCGGGGGTGAAGAACGGGCCAGAACGGCCCCGGTTCATTGTTCGTTGTTGTTGGGCGGACCAAATGGAAATCGGAATGGAAATTCAATAAAAAAAGACAAACGAAAATAGCATCGAAATTCCGTTTATGAAGCGCAAAAATGGAACAGCGACAACTCAAATTGGATTAGCCTCATTAGCCAAACTAAGTTCACAAATACTAAAATAAAATAGCGATAACTGCGGTGGCGCACTTATTTACGAAATCTAGCGAAGAAGGCATTTTAAACAATAGAAAAATACGTTTAACTATTTTAATAGAATTTAACAAGAGCGTTGACCTTTCTCTCGCTATAAAAATTAATATTAATATGTATATTAACAAATTTATATGAACTACAACTATTTCGAAAGCTTACTCGCCGTTTTCTTAAATCCATGAACTTTGCAACTTTATTGAAAAACACACTTTAACCTCGCTTTTTTAACACGCCGTGAAGCCATTTTCTTTGTCCCGATATCAGCGTTTTGCTGAACTTTTTGGCTTTGGCCAAACAAATTGTAAATTTAATTTGGGCCCCAAAAATAATTGCCACATGTGGAAAGCGGCACAAAGGAAGTTCAGTTGCAGTGGAATGCATTTGGTTTGCGTCTCGCATAAAGTTAAACTCTCATTTTTTGCGCCACAACGATCACAATAAATAAAACTCTTTTTCCAACAGCAGAGGCATGAATAAATTTTACACAGCGAATGCCTGAATGGGTGGGAAAACTGAGACACATTTGACAAGTTCATAAATTATCAGGCATGGCAGAAAAATGTGTGTAATTTTTTTGATTGTTGCAAATTTTTCATTGAAAGCCATTCGCCCGCCTTCGTTCCCACTCCTTTAAAATGTATTAAACACAATATAAATGGCTGAGAACATTTCCATTTTAAATGGGGCGTGGCAGGCACTTGCAAGGCAGCAAATAAATAAAGGAAAGTTTCGCTGCCGCAAAAAATATAAAGAAGAGAATAAAAACTTGTGTACAGCGCATAAAAAGCAACAATAAAAATCCAACAAAGTGAGACACAGCCACCAAAACTATCGCCAAGTATAGTTATCCAGTTTCCCGAAAAGAGAAGCCCCAACGTATAGTACAAACAAAGCTGGTAGAAGGCGATTTGGGGGAAGAATTGTAAGTGGAAATAATGGCCAATGCGGCGTATGCGCGATTTAAATTTTCATTTCCAGCACGCCATTACAAAAAAGCGGGCTGAACCGGACCTTAAAGTATACAAAGATTTCTTGCAAAAGGGAGCAATAGATTATAAAAAGATTCCATGGAAACTGCGGGGATTTTATATAGGGTACAGGGGACAAGCGAATCTATAAATCGTGTTATGCACCAAATAAATTGGGAAGACGAATAAGAACGGCATACAAACAATTTACTTTGAATTGCTTTTGGAACTATTGAGTTCTGATTTTAAATGTTGGTCTGTAAAAATAAATTAAATCTTTTATCTAGTGAATAGGAGTATGTTTTATGGGAATTGTAATTAATTATTTTTCTTGAAGTTTCTGAAACACATATTCTTTCTACCTTAAAGTAATATTCCACGTTCCTTTCTCACACAACTTCCCAATTTTGTTTCCATTTTTCAACTACTGTAATATTCCTATTGCTTCTGTAAATCTGTAATTTTACTCAATTTCGAACCCGCTTGACTTCTTCATTTATCAATCATCCGCCCAGTTGCACTTGGATGACTTCATATGCAAATAGTTTGCCCTAAGTGAATATTTTCTAATGTGTTTTGCGCTCGCTTCTGGGGATGGAGCCTGGTCAAAAGCCTTTCAAGTGAAATGCATTTGCCCCTTTGGCCAGGCCAGCTTTTTTTTATTTCCCCAACCTTAGCCCCATCACTATCGCATATATACAAAATTTTTGAGGGTCATTTTTCTTAGGGGCAAAACAAACTTCTTGCCGCCCCATTTTCGTTGCTGCTCCTTAACTATCTTATGGGGTAAAAAATGAATCGGGCACCGCACACACACACACACACACACATATACACATACACATACATATACGTATGTGAAGTGGTTGCCTATATGGCATACAATGAATAATGGAGGCCGGGGGTCCTGGAAACCAAAAAGAACGAGATGCCGTAGCTGAAGCGTTGACAACTATAGAAAATATTATAAGGATATGCGACCATAAAGCAAAAGGAGACCAGGAACAACGACCAGCGACAACGAACGTCGCCGGGGAAGACAAATAAAAGAGAAATCGTTTATTGCAAAAGAGCCCATAAATTGATTTTTTCAAATAAAAATAAAATATCGACACACGAATGGGGGGAGCACCAGCACCACCAACACCACCAACACCACCATCACCCGAGAGTCAGACAGATAAAATAAGCCATCTACCATAAGGAGTTGGGTGGTGTTGGGTGCTGGGTGTTGGCTGTTGGCCTGATGGGCTGTTGGGTGGAAAGGACTAAGTGAGATGCTGCCAAGATACACGACTCAATAGCCTGCTTGTGGTCCAAAAAGAAGCCGCCTCCAAGACGCCATGGAAAAAAGAAGAAAAATCCA